TAGGTAGAGCAGTACACTAGTGGACAATCTTCAGATTTAGGTAGAGCAGTTCTCTTGTGGACAATCTTCAGTCACAGGTAGAGCAGTTTACTAGTGGACAATCCTCAGTCACAGGTAGAGCAGTTCATTAGTGGACAATCTACAAGAGCAGTTCACTAGTGAACAATCTTCAGTCACAGGTAGAGCAGTTCACTTGTGGACAATCTTCAGTCACAGGGAGAGCAGTTCACTAGTGGACAATCTTCAGTCGCAGGTAGAGCAGCTCACTAGTGGACAATCTTCAGTCACAGGTAGAACAGCTCACTAATGGACAATCTTCAGTCACAGGTAGAGCAGTTTACTAGTGGACAATCCTCAGTCACAGGTAGAGCAGTACACTAGTGGACAATCTTCAGATTTAGGTAGAGCAGTACACTAGTGGACAATCTTCAGATTTAGGTAGAGCAGTACACTAGTGGACAATCTTCAGTCACAGGTAGAACTAGTGGACAATCTTCAGTCACAGGTAGAGAAGTTCACTAGTGGACAATCTTCAGTCACAGGAAGAGCAGTTCACTAGTGGACAATCTTCAGTTATAGGTAGAGCAGTTCACTAGTGGACAATCTTCAGACACAGGTAGAGCAGTTTACTAGTGGACAATCCTCAGTCACAGGTAGAGCAGTTCATTAGTGGACAATCTACAAGAGCAGTTCACTAGTGAACAATCTTCAGTCACAGGTAGAGCAGTTCACTACTGGACAATCTTCAGTCACAGGTAGAGAAGTTCACTAGTGGACAATCTTCAGTCACAGGGAGAGCAGTTCACTAGTGGACAATCTTCAGTTAAAGGTAGAACAGGTCACTAGTGGACAATCTTCAGATTTAGGAAGAGCAGTTCACTAGTGGACAATCTTCAGTTAAAGGTAGAACTGTTCACTAGAGGACAATCTTCAGTCACAGGTAGAGCAGTTCACTAGTGGACAACCTTCAGTCACAGGTAGAGCAGTTCACTAGTGAACAATCTTCAGTCACAGGTAGAGCAGTTCACTAGTAGACAATCTTCAGTCACAGGTAGAGCAGTTCACTACTGGACAATCTTCAGTCACAGGTAGAGTAGTTCACTAGTGGACAATCTTCAGTCACAGGGAGAGCAGTTCACTAGTGGACAATCTTCAGTTACAGATAGAGCAGTTTACTAGTGGACAATCGTTAGTTTTAGGTAGAGCAGTTCACTAGTGGACAATCTTCAGTTAAAGGTAGAGCAGTTCCCTAGTGGACAATCTTCAGTCACAGGTAGATCAGTTCACTAATGGACAATCTTCAGTCACAGGTAGATCAGTTCACTATTGGACAATCTTCAGACACAGGTAGAGCAGTTCACTAGTGGACAATCTTCAGACACAGGTAGAGCAGTTCACTAGTGGACAATCTTCAGTCACAGGTAGAGCAGTTCACTAGTGGACAATCTTCAGACACAGGTAGAACAGTTCACTAGTGGACAATCTTCAGACACAGGTAGAGCAGTTCACTAGTGGACAATCCTCAGATTTAGGTGGAGCAGTTCACTAGTCGACAATCTTCAGACACAGGTAGAAAAGTTCATTTGTGGACAGTCTTCAGTCACAGGTAGAGCAGTTCACTAGTGGACAATCTTCTGTCACAGGTAGAGCAGTTCACTAGTGGACAATCTTCAGATTTAGGTAGAGCAGTTCACTAGTGGACAATCTGCAGATTTAGGTAGAGCAGCTCACTAGTGGACAATCTTCAGTCACAGGTAGAGCAGTTCACTAGTGGACAATCTTCAGTCACAGGTAGAGCAGTTCACTAGTGGACAACCTTCAGATTTAGGTAGAGCAGCTCACTAGGGGACAATCTTCAGTCACAGGTAGAGCAGTACACTAGTGGACAATCTTCAGATTTAGGTTGAGCAGCTCACTAGTGGACAATCTTCAGTCACAGGTATAGCAGTACACTAGTGGACAATCTTCTGTCACAGGCAGAGCAGTTCACTAGTGGACAATCTTCAGTCACAGGTATAGCAGTACACTAGTGGACAATCTTCTGTCACAGGCAGAGCAGTTCACTAGTGGACAATCTTCAGTCACAGGTATAGCAGCTCACTAGTGGACAATCTTCAGTCACAGGTAAAGCAGTTCACTAGTGGACAATCTTCAGTCACAGGCAGAGCAGTTCACTAGTGGATAATCTTCAGTCACAGGTAGAGCAGTTCACTACTGGACAATCTTCAGTCACAGGCAGAGCAGTTCACCAGTGGACAATCTTCAGTCACAGGTAGAGCAGTTAACTAGTGGACGATCTTCAGTTTTAGGTAGAGCAGTTCACTAGTGGACAATCTTCAGTTACAGGTCGAGCAGTTCACTAGTGGACAATCTTCAGTTACAGGTAGAGCAGTTCCCTAGTGGACAATCTTCAGTTACAGGTAGAGCAGTTCCCTAGTGGACAATCTTCAGTCACAGGTAGAGCAGGTCACTAGTGGACAATCTTCAGTCACAGGTAGAGTAGTACACTAGTGGACAATCTTCAGTCACAGGCAGAGCAGTTCACTAGTGGATAATCTTCAGTCACAGGTAGAGCAGTTCACTAATGGACAATCTTCAGTTACAGGTAGAGCAGTTCACTAGTGGACAATCTTCAGTTACACGTAGAGCAGTTCACTAGTTGACAATCTTCAGTCACAGGTAGAGCAGTTCATTAGTGGACAATCTTCAGTCACAGGTATAGCAGTTGACTAGTGGACAATCTTCAGTCACAGGTATAGCAGTTCACTTGTGGACAATCTTCAGACACAGGTAGAGCAGTTAACTAGTGGACAATCTTCAGTCACAGGTAGAGTAGTACACTAGTGGACAATCTTCAGTCACAGGCAGAGCAGTTCACTAGTGGATAATCTTCAGTCACAGGTAGAGCAGTTCACTACTGGACAATCTTCAGTCACAGGCAGAGCAGTTCACCAGTGGACAATCTTCAGTCACAGGTAGAGCAGTGCACTAGTGGACAATCTTCAGTCACAGGTATAGCAGTTCACTTGTGGACAATCTTCAGACACAGGTAGAGCAGTTAACTAGTGGACAATCTTCAGTCACAGGTAGAGTAGTACACTAGTGGACAATCTTCAGTCACAGGCAGAGCAGTTCACTAGTGGATAATCTTCAGTCACAGGTAGAGCAGTTCACTACTGGACAATCTTCAGTCACAGGCAGAGCAGTTCACCAGTGGACAATCTTCAGTCACAGGTAGAGCAGTGCACTAGTGGACAATCTTCAGTCACAGGTAGAGCAGTGCACTAGTGGACAATCTTCAGTCACAGGTAGATCAGTTCACTAATGGACAATCTTCAGTCACAGGTAGATCAGTTCACTAATGGACAATCTTCAGTCACAGGTAGAGCAGTTCACTAGTGGACGATCTTCAGTCACAGGTATAGCAGTTCACTAGTGGACAATCTTCAGATTTAGGTTGAGCAGCACACTTGTGGGAGGTATGAGTTGCATTCCTCAAGGTAAATGAGTGCACTATTGATTGAGCTGCAATGGTTAAGTACACCACTCCCTGTCAGCTACATTGTACGTATCCCTGTTAGCAAGCACACTGTCAGGTTAGGCAAGTACACACACAGGATGTCGTAAGATACGTTAAAACATCGCGTAGTTGATGGTTAATCATTACAAAGTTGAAAGGACAACAAAAAAAACTATCAATTAGGCGAAGCTGTTACATAAAAGCAGTAAGTGTTTAGGACGAGGAATGCTACCCATAAACAGTGGTTATTAGGCCGATGTAATTCAACAGATATAGCGATATTATCAGATGTGAAGTTTGAAAGTAATTTGGGAGGGGCATTTATTACTTCACAAACTGTCTGGTATAATTACACTATGTGTCAAATACATTGTAACTCCTAAAACCTCCCATCACCTTGATACAAAATGGAAATGTTTGTAATCAAGGTCAGGCACTGTTCCTGATAAACTCATACTAGTTATGCTGCCAATTTCTTTAGCCATTACAAGGCTGGCGAAATCATGGGCTGGGCATTTTTTCACGTACTTTGATCCTTGACCTGCCTATCAGGCAAGGTATTTTTTTCATGTGCTTTGATCCACAAGACTATATGCTGTATAGGTTGTTATCTTAGTTTAAACGCTGGGACCAGGATTAGAAAAGAAAGTAAAATAACAACAGTTGCTGATACCATTAGGTCTGAGGTGTATACATAAGGATGGTGGTACTTGGTGAGCTGATGGGGTAGAATTAGGGTGCAGGGAGTTAAGGGGGTTAACTCATTCACCCCTGAAAACACATTTGAACTCTTCCAACTCATAGGTTTGAATAGTTCATTATGAAATTTCAGGGGTGAATGGGTTAAGTTTGTTATTGGGGCTGAGTGGGTTTGGAGAATAAGGAGTCTGATGGGATGAACCGGTAGATAAGAACAAAGCGGGTTAGAAAAAAGTTGGTGCTGCTTATATAGGGTAAATTGGGCCTCAATTGATGAAGGAAGGAACAGATATATAGGATTGGGAATGAGAGAGGGGTAAAGTCATTTACCCCTAAAATTTCATATTGAACTATTCCAACCTTTGAATTAGAAGAGTTCAAATGTGTCTTCAGGTATGAATGAGTTAATAGTGGAAGTAGGGGTTTGAGATGAATGGGGCTGACCTGATAGAGGGGATAGGGAAGTTTATATGGAACTAAGCTGATGGCTAAGTGGAGGGAAATACATAGCTAAGGGGCAAAAGAGTAGGTTGAGGAGGAGGGTATATAGATGATTGGTGAGGGAGGGATATACAGAGCTGAGGGGTTAGAGAAAGGAGTACTAGGATCTGCTGAGGACTTGGGACAGGGGTATGGGGTATGGAGCTGATGGATGGAGGAGGAAGATAATATTACACTTTCTGTAATCGTGTGTCAAAAAAAAAAAAAAATCATTGAAATAAATTATTAAGATATACCTACGGTACTTAAAGAGTAAATGTGTTATTTTCATTTATTGCAGATCATGTAATTCTGCCTGAATTGGTGACTTTATAAGAAATTCAAGCGCCCGCAGATTTGTATTGTAAGTAAAACAGTTTATGTTATACAGTACCTGATGTGATATTTGAGACTTGTCAAAATCTCCAGTCTAGGACAGACTATGTAGTATGTAGGTTGAATTAATGTGAAATTTCATATCATACAGACTACAGGAGGCACATATATATTACATACATGTTCTGTGAAGTGGAAAGTTTTCACACTTTCCCTTCGTAGTGCAGCTGTCCTTCATGCGTGACATCACACTGCGACCATGTTGGAGGACGGTACAATTGCATTTGACTAGGATTATTGTGTGACAAACGGGATGCATGAGAAATGTTTTACCAAATAATGCACAAATTAACCCTTTCACCCCTATGTAACTTTCGTAGACTCTACCAAGCATTGATATGGATGAGTCCATTATGATTTACAGTGGTGAAAGGGTTAAACCAGTAGCGAGAGGAGAAATCAAACTCGCTTGTGTTAACTTGTCATATATTTTGTTATACTGTCAAAGTGGAAATTTTTGTGTGAGGAAATGTTCACGTTATGTCACCCTTTAAACTGACTGTGGTGTGAAAATTTTCATGTTTGCAGTAGTTCTGAAATCTATATATATCCCGTTTATCTTTAATCTATATAGTATCTACCGGTATTAAGATTAAGATAGGCTTCCATAACTTTCCATCAATGTTGGTACCTATTTATACAGCTATGCTGATGAGGTTTTATTTTGTTGTAGGCGTCCATAATATGAGTTTCCATCAATGTTGGTATCTATTTATACAGCTATGCTGATGAGGTTTAATTCTACTGTAAGCTTCCATAAGTTTCCATCAATGTTGGTACCTAATTATACAGCTATGCTGATGAGGTTTGATTTTGTTTAAGGCTTCCATAAGTTTCCATCAATGTACCTATTTATACAGCTATGCTGATGAGGTTTAATTCTACTGTAAGCTTCCATAAGTTTTCCATAAATTTTGGTACCTATTTATACAGCTATGCTAGTGAGGTTTGATTTTGTTTTAGGCTTCCATAAGTTTCCATCAATGTTGGTACCTATTTATACAGCTATGCTGATGAGCAAACAATATTTAAAAATCCACAAGATGTTAGTTGAACTGTACACCTACACCAATGAGACAGAATAATTAAGATAGAGGCAAATGTCGGATTTGAAACAAAAACACAACTTTTTAATTGAAGTCCTGATTTGTTCTTGCTTGGAATTTAATCCATATCGAAAAGACTTCCTGAACACAAGGGGATGGCTCTGTGAACTGTGTTGTACCATCATGATGGGGAGCTGAGGAAGGCATTAAGCCAAACAATACCCCCCAGCTTGGCCAGTGCTCAAAAAGTTAAAGAGTTTTTCCTGTATTTATGTCATGTCATCAAGATTTTATTGACAAATTTGACCTACTTACCAACTCTGATGGGACAAAAGTCTACCAGTTATTCTGAGCATGCATACCACGGATGCTCTAAAATGCAGAACTTGGATTGCCGTAGGCCTGCACACCAACTTATCGATAATAGTTTTAACCAACAAACCATGTTCAACATTATATTTCTATGTATTCTTGAAAAATTGTTTCATTAATTAAAAGATAAAACTGCCATATAAAACTTATGTAAATTTATGATAAAATGTGCACGAGTATTCGTTAGGGGTTGGGTTGAAGTATCTTTTGTGTTGATGCGGTGTAAAGCTAGCTATGCTTTGACTGTGTTTGGATGTGAGGAGTCAACTATGTATGTAGGCAGGGTAGTCGGCCTGGTGACCAGTGGCCGTATAGATTACAGGAGTAATGGCGGAATTATGGCTGGGATGTTTGGTTTGTAAATAAGACAGGCTTACCGTCTTTACATAGTTTCCAGTAGTTGCCATCCTTGTCAATTTATTGGCTGGTCCACACCCAGCCACACAACATTGTACCGACACTGGACCAGTACTTGAATCAAACTGTCCACCGTTATTTCATCTGAGACCAGGTGGATTGGAAGGTTTATTGGTAACTATTAGAAACTTCCTGTTTGGGAAGTATTGGCAGTGTCTGTATATACAATGTACCAATCAATAATGGCTGCTGTGATTTAGACCACAAAATAAGATTATATTAATTGTCCCGCTTCTGTCACTAGTAAAATTATCACCTTGATTATGTCGCTGGTAAAGAACCACTTCCTCTCATTAGTTCGAAATCAGGTACAGGTTGACTTCCTGTCATAATCTATAGATCTAGTATAGATTGGCTTTCTGGTATAGTTTCTAGATGTTGATTTCCTGTCATAGTATGTAGATGATAACGTCCTGTCATCATCTTTAGATGTTGACGTCCTGTCATAGTATGTAGATGATAGCGTCCTGTCATCATCTCTAGATGTTGATTTCCTGTCATAGTATGTAGATGATAACGTCCTGTCATCATCTTTAGATGTTGACTTCCTGTCATAGTATGTAGATGATAACATCCTGTCATCATCTCTAGATGTTGATTTCCTGTCATAGTATGTAGATGATAACGTCCTGTCATCATCTTTAGATGTTGACTTCCTGCTATATTCTCTGGAGGTTGACTTCTTGTCATCTCTAGATGTTGACGTCCTGTCATAGTATGTAGATGATCACGTCCTGTCATCATCTGTAGATGTTGACTTCCTGCTATATTCTCTGGAGGTTGACTTCTTGTCATCTCTAGATGTTAACGGCCTGTCATTGTATATAGATGATAACGTCCTCTCATCATCTTAAGGTGTTGACTTCTTGCTATATTTTCTGGAGGTTGACTTCCTGTCATCTCTAGATGATAACGTCCTGTCATAGTCTATGGAGGTTGACTTCCTGTCATCATGTCTAGATGTTGATGTCCTGTCTAAGTGTGTAGATGTTGACTTCCTGCCATGATCTCTGGAGATTAACTTCCTGTCATTGTCTCTAGATGTTGGACTTCCTGTTGTAGTGTTTAGATGTTAACTTCCTGTCATCATCTCTTGATTTTGACTTCCTGTCATCGTCTCTAGATGTTGACTTCCTGTCATAGTATGTAGATGTTGATGTCCTGTCTAAATGTGTAGATGTTGACTTCCTGCCAAGATCTCTGGAGGTTAACTTCCTGTCATTGTCTCTAGATGTTGACTTCATGTCATAGTGTTTAGATGTTAACTTCCTGTCATCGTCTCTAGATGTTGACCTCCTGTCATAGTAAGTAGATGTTGAGCTTCCTGTCATTTTGTGTAGATAAAAACGTCCTGTCATCGTCTCTAGATGTTGACCTCCTGTCATAGTATGTAGATGTTGACCTTTTGTTATATTGTGTAAATGTTGTTTTCCTGCCATGATCTCTATAGGTTAACTTCCTGTCATCGTCTCTAGATGTTGACTTCATGTCATAGTGTTTAAATGTTGACCTCCTGTCATCGTCTCTAGATGTTGACTTCCTGTCCTAGTGTTTAGATGTTAACCTCCTGTCATCATCTCTAGATGTTGACTTCCTGTCATAGTGTTTAGATATCAACTTCCTGTCATCATCTCTAGATGTTGACTTCCTGTCATAGTGTTTAGATGTTAACTTCCTGTCATCGTCTCTAGATGTTGAGCTTCCTGTCATAATATGTAGATGATAAAGTTCTGTCATAATATGTAGATGTTGACTTCCTGTCATATTGTGTAGATGATAACATCATGTCATCATCTCTAGATGTTGACTTCCTGTCAAAGTGTCTAAATGTTGACTTTTTGCATATTCTATGGAGGTTGACTTCCTGTCATAATGGTTAGATGTTGACTTCCTGTCAAAGTGTCTAAATGTTGACTTCCTGTCATAATGTTTAGATGTTGACCGTCTGTCAAAGTGTCTAAATGTTGACTTCCTGTCATATGGCCTCAGACCACAATTAATTGTACTATATGTTATACCAAAGGAGAAAAAATATTATAATATTTTAAAACTTTGCACAGCGTCTGGTTCCTATTTTATATTGTAGATCTATTCAAACAGAACGTACAGTGAGCTGGAAAGTACCTCATGACTGGCATTTAAGAAAGTTAATTTTATTTGAATGTCACTACCCTGCATGTTTAGGGGAAAATTCCTGCTGCCAATACAAACTTGGAAACTGTGTCAAACAAAATTTAATCACTAGAATAGATATTGTTGAACAATTCTATGTAAAAAAAAACTGTACATATTTGCCATAGATCAGACAGGAAAAATTATTTAGTAACCCACCTGAAATGTCCTTATGCACTGCATTCGTGTACAACAACCCGGAAGTGTTTCAACTGGTAACTCTTTGCTTTAAAACGGATCCATTAATAAGCAAATGGGAAAATAATGTTTTGAATATATATGGGAATTCATTTTTTGTCTGAAAACTGTTGGTCAGTGAAACCTGGAGAGTGTTGTGGAAAGTGTAGACCCACATATACTGCATGGTTAGTCCAAGTGGTGGGCCACTCAAATCAATATTGTTGAATTATTTAAAGTCTCAGAAATGAACGTCAAATTTTAACTACATGTATTATTAAGTTGAGGGGACACTGCTCTGCGAAATGTTTGACTACCTTCAGCTTAACAAAGCGTTAATTGAACATTTTTCACCGAAGAACAAATATATTTTAATAAAATTTTAAACTGTTTAGTATCAGTTGATGAATCAAGATTTAAAGCTACAACAACCAAAATGAATGATATTAAGAATTTTAGAAATAGTAGCTAAATGTTTTATTTGATTATGTTTTTGAAAGCTAACAAAGCTTGCACAGAATGGCCAGTTTCTGTTAATTTGATTTCTGTGTTAGAAATTGGCCCCGAACGTTGTGCTTCGTTTTCTTATTAGAACATCGCCTACAGCTAAGTCTAAAATACAATTTGGAATTTGAAAGGGAAAGATGAGCACTTATTCGACTTACATGATTGTAGAAATTATGTGGTTTACTCACATAAACAATACACTTGTAGAAATTATTACCTCACTTTGCGTAAAGTGCTTGTAAGCTTATGTATTGCTATATGGCATCCTTTGTCTGGC